ATTGCTAGCAAATTTCTGAAATACATAAATATATACGGTTTTTGGTAATGGTACAAGGGCTTGAACTCAGGGCATGGGCACTATCCATTACCTTTATATACCCAAGGCTGGTGCTCTGTTGCTGAGACTAGAGTCTCAGAGACTTTCTTGCCTGGGCTAGCTTTGAACCATGATCCTCATTTCTCAGACTGCTGTCTAGCTAGTATTACAGGCATGAGCCACAGTACCTGCCTCATCAGAAATAATTTGCTGAAGAAAAGAATCTCCAAGACCAAATGACAATCACAGGCTTGATTAAGTAGCAATGGTAAGAATACACACTGGCAAAATGAAAGCAGGACTTAGAAGGCATATTAATAATAGGAATGTTAGTACCCTAACTGAAATTACAAAACAGTATAAATAGGAAATGACTGAACAAAGTGATTTAAGGGAAGAAAAGACCAAGTTATCTTATGCCATCTTTGAATGACAGGTATATCACATCCATGTCATTCTATTCTGTGATCCTGGGTGCTTGACTTGAAGAAAGCAAATTCAACCTCTGGTTCATCAGCAGGCAACTTTGTAAAGCTACTATGCCCACATGTCGTTGACCCACGTCTCTTCAACAGAGCAAGTATATATACACCATTGACCCAGGGCATTAGTCAGGAGCCTCGATCAAATAACAAATCCTCAAAACCACACCACCAACATGGAAGGATGACACAGGCCTGTCAAACAAGCACTGAAGAGGCAGAAGGATCACAAGTTTAAGGCAGGGAAGCCTGGACTTCATAAGGAGACTGTCACAAAACTACATTAATTAAAGTAAAAGTAAAGCAATGAGAGACAGGACAAATAAGCATGGTGTACCTATAAGGATGGTAATATGATTGTTCAAGTTATTTTTTACATCTTATTGCAAACTTAAAATGTGTTGACTTACTCCATGTGTCCCCTCTGGCGTTTAGATTTGTGTTTTATACTGAATTGATAAATCGTAAATTCAAGCATTTTACTTCGGTTGCCAAGATGTTTCTATTCCATAACCTCTGAGATAGCGTGCCTGGCATAGTTCCTTGCAGCAAGGTAATTTCCCACAGAACACCTACTGAAATAGAATCTGCATCTTAACAAGATCCCTAAGTAATTCAAATGCATGTTGAAGTTTAGTAAGTGCTGCTAAAACAGTCAGGAAGAAAGAGAAGCCCCCACAAACTTAAGAGGATGGGTCAAAACATTAGAGCTATGTTCTGAACACTATCCTGAACAAAAGCTTCAGGTACTGCAGCCTTCAATGATAGGGAGAATGCAGATATTCATTTCCAACAACTCTCAGGGAAGGTTCAAGGAAGCACTGCTGCCCTTGCTGGCTTCTGTGAACTGTCACTCTGTAAAACTGCATACAGTTTAAGAAAACACTGAAAGTATCACACAAGGACTCACAACATTACATTTGCAGTCTCCTACTTACAGGAAAATAACAAAAATCTTCCTTTCAAATAGCACTAGGTTTCAAGAATACAAATTCAAAGGTTGTAAGTAACTGACAAACAGTTATAATTTCCTTAATGAGGATGCAGTGACCTTGGAAAGGATATTCAAGAATAAATTTGAACTGAAGAGCCTAGAAAGCCTCCTGAATGGGCTATGCACTTCCCCTTGACCCCCTGACCAGATCAGCTCCAGGTTTGTTATGTTAGTCATAGTGTTCCTGATGCAAATTAGGCATTTATAATAGAAAATATAGTAACAAAAATTACCCTGCCTATTCTCGGCTTATTCACATTTTAATTCAATTCTTTGGTTTTGCGAAAAATCTGATAATGAAAGCTTAATACCATATCTCAAATTAAGTGGGTTCATAACCTTCTCCTATGCTATATTTTGGAGACAGGCTTCATATTCTCCATTGTTAATACCATTCTAATATACTATGACACTGTTAAACACATAGTAATAATTATGCTCACGAAAGATAGATAAGTCATGCTAATAATCGGCCAGTAATACAATTTGATCTTTTTTTTTTTTGCTTTGTTTTATCTCATTTGATTTTCATGAGACAGGCTCACCCCTACATAGCTGAAGCTTCTCTGGAACTACCTATGTAGCTCAAGTTGGCCTGAACTCTCAGTCTTAACTGTCTCTCTGCTGGGATTACAAACATGTATCATCATGCATGGCTGAATCTAGTCATTTTTAAAAATCATGAACAACAAGGAATATGCTACAACAGGAAAGACTATCTTTCATGTGGTTGTTTATCTAACCCCACATTAAAGCATTTTTAGGATAATATCCATGTAAAACACATTTCAAAGAAATAAACTGGACACCAAGGACAGCAGCACACAGAAAGATCGCAAACAAGCCCTACCACAAAACATTAAAGGTGTTGGGAATATTTTACTGAACACAGAGTACCAGGTAGTGAATATAAAAACTTCAAAAATAATTTCAAAGTTTAAAAATGTTCTCTATCATTTTTTGAAAGAGGAAATATGTTTAAATTCAAAGTCAAAGATTTAGTTTGGAAATCTTAACTTCCCATTCCACAAATGAAGCTTTATAAAAATAAGAAAATAAACATAGAAATGATTGAATGTACTCTCTTCCAAATAATCTATCAAAGCTCTTTTGCTCCCTATGCATTTATTACAGCCAAGTGCTGTTCAAGGACCATCTACATTAGCACAATTCTGTATACTCCATCATGTGGGTTATTTTAGACATACTGTGTTTGAGAATTGATTCTACAAGGTCACCGAGAAAAGTGCTCACCTTATAGATTTTTGTGTCTCCTGCCCCTAGCAGACTAACAGAACACATATAAGCCTTCCCTAAACACTTGTTGAATTTAATTATTTTACCACTCTCTCAGGCTATATAATATACGTATATAAATTGTAGAATAACAAAAACAACACCACCAGTAGAAAGCAGTTCTCAAAATTTCCCAATGAAGCTACTTTTGTGTTCAACAATAGGAGCAACAAGAAAGAGTAATTGTCCCATTCATTACAAAGGGGATAATAATGATTCTTCTGTTTGCAAACTTAATCCACTCCAACTAGTCCTGTGAACTGCCCAATAAAATGCAATGTATTAAGTTTGTTCACAAATCTTACCATGATCTAAGTCCTTCAGGAAGGGTGAATTGCGTTTGTTATCTCTCATTCTCTTCTATATGAAATCCAATTTGTTATTGTAATCAAAGAGATAATATGGTTGTTATTATTATAAGCAATTGTAGCAAAAATAAACATCACCTAAATTTCAAAGTATCATACCCCCAAAAGCTGGATTGTTCACACCTCAACAGATTATTCTTCAATGATAAATCCTTTAAAATACACTAAAGCTACTAGCACACAGGTTTTGTGTAGCACAGGACCCAAATATAACCCACTGGGTTGAGTGGCTCATGTTCTACTTGTTAAATTATCATAAACTGCTATCCCTCCATTTAAAAACTCAGTTTCTGATTTTAACAAACTCCTTGAAGAGTTTGTTTCAGTTATTCCTGCTTTGCTCAGTGTGAAATCATTTAATCTTATTGCTTTCTTCCTCAGGGAGAGATGATGTTCAAAACAGACATGAGAAGGCACATTTGAAGATGATGCCTAGAAGTGAGATTGGGGTCAAGAGGGCCAGAATAACATGGGAATGTGACAAAACACTGCAAGGAAACTTCACTTGTTTTCAAACTAGAATTCACTCTCTGTTTAAAACACAGTGCTACTGGACATGGCCCATTCTTACCCAGAACTTTTGCCTTAGATTAATAAAGTACAAATGTGCTTGCTAACACCTGCAAAAAATTTCAGAATATTACTTTATTTCAAAACAGTATTTCATAATTTAGGCAATGTCAGACTTCTCCATGGTTATGTAAAATGTTACAGCTATGTAAGTTCATAAGAGGGAAATAAACATATTAAGTGATTTTAAGAGTTGAAGAGCAAATTTACAATATGAAATTCCAAATCTATCATATATGTATGTGTGTGTGTGTGTGTGTGTGTGTGTGTGTATATATATATATATATATATATATATATAATTTGTAGACGCTGGGAGCCCCTAGGAAGTGGTTTTACACTACACATTTGCCAACATACACACCCAAATTCCCCAAAGAGAGCATGTGAGAAGCTAAAGACCGAACTGATGGGCAAGGGCAAGTATACTTAAAAAACACTCCTGAGGATTCTGATACTCCATCAACCACCTCCCGCCCCTATTGCCATTATCTGCTAATATGTTCCACCACACACTGCCAGTTGCGTTTTGCTTTCTATACCAATGCTAGTTAAGTGAAGGCATTCTGATAGAGTATCTGAATTCAATTGGCATTTATCCAGTTTTTAAGAGGTAAAAATAAACCCATGAATGACAAATCAATTTTTTCCTTTCACAAAAATTTCACTATAAAGCTACATAACCCATACTGAACTTGGAGCTATTTACAGTTATAGTTTTTCAAAGTATTTAAGTCAGCTAATATATTTTCATAATCAAATCTTCACTACTAAGTAGCAATGGGAAAAATATGTAGCAACATTCCTCACAATCCATTATACTTAAGTGAGGAGTAATTCAGGTATTTTTAAGCACACAAACAAAAAAATCATTTCTATGTAACCATAATTCACTCAATCTACCTATACCTCAGATCTTACAGTGTCTAGATTAAGAAAATTGTCGATAAGGAATTGTAAGTAATATGTTGTAATTCAAAAATAACACTCCTGGTTTTCAGTGTTCATGTTACTCAAACTCCAGTCCATTGGAATGTATCTCACAATCCCCAAACTTCAACTTTCATAATAGTCACTATTGGCTTATGCCACTGAATAGAACATTATGAAATATGACTGATACCTCTCAAACTCCTAACTTTAAAAAAAAAAACAAAAACAGCTGACAACAGGTGTATGGAAATCATCTTGAACTTCTTGGCAGGCCCCAATACTAAAGACAAACATAGGAAACAAACCGAAAAGGCATACCTTAATTGGAGCACAACTAAACTTAATTTTCCTATTTGCTGGGATTTCTTCTTCTTCTGGCAATCCAACGATTTCCGAGTATTCCATATCAGGCTGATAGTAGCTATTCTCGTCACTGTCCTCCTCATCCTGCTCAGTGCCTGTCTCTCCCCAATCTGAATTATACCTGGATCTCACCCTATACACATTATAGTCACTATGCATGTACACATGGGAACTCTCAACATTATTTGAATCTTCAGCTACTTCTTTTGCACAACTGGATACAGAAGCATTGGGAGAGGTGAGATCACCACCTGCAAGCTCTTCTTTCCTCGGCTGCTTTGCTGTCTCACTCCCAACCGAATTAGCCTCGGCATCTCCTGAAGGTTCGTTTTGTGGTGAAAGGATTTCAGACTTCGGCATTGCCTTCTTTTCAGCACAAGGTGGTTCAAGAATGTCTTTGTCAGTTCTGTCCAGAGTCTCTTGGTTAGATGTAGAGTCCTTGGCTTCCTTGCTCTGCTGTATCTCTTCCCTAGACAACGAAGCTAGAGAGGTACTTTTAGGAGCCACTTCTAGTACTGGAGTTGTATTAGTCTTCTGAGCATTATCTGTTTCAACACCTTGTTTGTTCGAAGGAGACCAAGAATTAGAATCCTTACGGTGTCCAAAGGTGTCAAGATTGGTAACAGTAACCGATGGTAAATTCAGGGGATAATGGCCAGTCACTGAGTAGTCACTGCTTTCAGCCTTCTCAGAAATGATGGCACTGGGGGACTCAGTGTTCTCAAATACTGCACTCAGTTGACTCACAGTTGGGGAGACAGCCTCGGTTCGGGAGCTAAGGCTGTCCAAGGAATCAGTACTGCCTCTGTTGGACTTGGAACCCCCCCACTCGTCCTGTGGTTCACTCCCTCCAGCTTTCTCTTTCTTTGGGGAATAGCGGTTGTTTTGTCCTGATTCAAGAACACTCCTCTCAAACATTTTTCGAGTCTCTGTGAACTTAGAATATGAAGGGCCATCATACATTGTGTCAAATCGACTAATTCGTTCAGAAACAGAGGACTCCAATTTAACAACTGAGCCATCTGTTTTCTCCAGAAATTCTTTGGGCTTCATTCTTCTCTGAGGAGAGGAAGGTCTACCTTTCCCCCTGGTTTTGGCAATGACTGCAGCATTCTCATTGGGTTCCATACCCATCTGCATAAATAGATTTTTAATTCTGTTGACATTGGAGCCATATTTCCTACCCCTGGTCTGTTGGGAGCCCTCACCTTCTTTTGATTTTTGTTCTCCATCTGACTTAGGTTTGTCAAAGGCACTTTTCAGTGCCTGAAATTCAGTTCTGTATGCATTCCTATGAGGAGAGGCACTTCTGAGAGTGGTTCGTTCACCTGAAGACTCAGCTTTCAACATTTTTACTTCAAGGGTGAAAACCCAATGTTCATAATGATCAGGAAAAAGAAAACAACAAAAACAAAAACCTCTCGTCTAATCACCAGTATTTGGTCAAGTAAAGGACCTCTTAAACGGCATACTTTTGTCCGTGATTGTCCCAACAGGTGTATGAGCAAATTATTCAGTCAAGAGTTACACAAAATGGCTTTTTCAAAGCAAGACTAGTGGTTCATCTGTAAGAGAAAAGAATGAAGTTTTGAATTTATGTACTTAGGTGAATTTCTGTTTAATCAACTAGCACTTTTATTTTCAAAGTGATTTAGCCACAGGTCAAGTAGAAGATATTACTTACTGAAATGGAAAGTTAACGTCAAAAGGTAAAAGTTATCATTCTAATTTGTTCTAATAAGGAAAATGTTTCCAAAACAACTTAGGAGATCCCTACCAAAAGAATGCCCCCCTCTCTGTCTGTCTCTTTCTCACTCCCTCACTTGCTGGCTCACATAGCACATAAGTACTCTTAAAGCAACACTTTAACCCATGTTTTGATTGCTTTTATAAATGACCTTAAAAGAAACCAGCAGTGCATATCTCTTTTAAGAAATTATCAAAATGCCCAGAATGTCGGTTGCATTGGAATTTTCCATAATCAGGTAGAAGTTATTCGGTCAAAGTGAAAGTTTGGAATCCTTTTTACAAACTCCAAAACATTCCTACAGAGGCTTAATCCAGTCTTTCTGGTCCAATATTCTCATCTACAGCATCCCAAAAACAACACAAGTGCAATCTCAGAGCAAAACAAGAATCAAAAAGTTCTTGGAAACCAGCATGTTTCACTCTAAATGGTGGTATCCATTTCGTTGGAAGTTCCCTAAGAGTGGCTATTATGAATTATGTAGTGGGATGTAGACCATCATGGGACTGAATGAACATGTGATCACCAGAGAGCAAATATTCCATAGCACCTCTTTTCACAGGCCTGATTTGTTTATCCCTCCCTACCCCAGATTTACTACAGGCTGAAAAGGCAAAGCAATGCATGCTTGCTGGTCTCCAGCTCACAGCTGGATTTTAGTATCAATAAGCCAGCAGTCAAATACTTCGAGATCTACAGAAAAGCAAACAATGCAGCTCAAAAGATTTTTTTTTCATTTCTGTTTTGTTTTTATTTTAGTATCAGGCCAGATCACATTACCCCCAGAGACAACCATCTGAGGAAGCATACACTTTCACTTAAATCATCGTCTCCAAACTCGTTTTCCTGGCCCAGCATGCATGCACGGCCCATGCAGACAAACAAGAAAGGTTTCAGAGTGTACTGCCTTTTTTCTTTTTTTTTCTTTCTTCCTTTTTTTTTTTTTGTAAAGCATCGACAATCTCCTTTTACCCTGATATTAAAAAAAAACACACACAAAAAACAAAAAACCATCAACACCCTCCCCTGTCCCCTGGTCGCACACCCCATTCCCTCCTCCTCCACCCACCCCCGCCCATTCGAGCCCGAGGGGGCGGAGGCGGGGGCGACGGGGCCGCCGGGGATTTAAAACCTGCCCTCACAAAAGACAAACATAAATAACACCAACTTGAGAGGCAGCGGGTTCCCAAGCCTGCTTCGGGACGCAAATCCCTCGGCCCCGGGGCCGGGCCGCGAGAACAGGTGACGCCAAGCGCTACGGTTGGAGGTCGCAGTCTAGCTTTGTGCCAAGAAGCACCTGAGTAGTCCCAGCACATTGGCTGCGGCTGCCGGTGGCGAATTCCAGGGTAGCACGGGAGAGAGATGAGCTCCCTGGCCACATCAGGAGGGGGAGGGAAAAAAAGAGAAAATTATAGGGCGATGAGAATAAATCCCTTTGTTTTTCCTCCCAATGTGCCAGGAAACAATAGATCCCACTGATAATGCCTCCGATCCTCAACCTATGGCTCCCCAACCGCGAGCCACCCCACCCCCAGCCTGCAACTCAGCCTTTTGTACATGCCGATGATATTTCCCCGGCTCCCTTCCGCCCTCCCCGGCTCCGAGCCCCGCGCACAGCCTCCCCCTTACCGAGCGCGAGCGCCGCGGGCGGGC